AATCCTGTGATCCTTGAACCTTTAAATCAACCCCATTAACGTTGTAAACACTTTCACGTCTCTTCCACTTAACTAAGAGATTGGCACATAATTTTAGGAATGAAGAGATGGTTAAAGTGAAAGCTTCAGCAACCATCAATGCTGCTAAGCATTGTTAGCTGCTGCTAACAACAGCAACAAGATGCTTAGCTAATCTTGCTAAGTTAAAGATTAGCAAATCTTTAACTTTTTAAGATTTGCTAACTTCAAATGTGCAAAGAACTCCAAAGGACTTTCCATAAACATCACAAATGCAAGACAAATAAGTGAAAATGTTCTGTTCTATTCTGCTTTGCAAAATACTCAAGATCAGTCTGGTTGGAGGGAGACCATTAGTGTACATCAGTTCTCCGTGGACTTTGGTCCAGATCTTCCTTCTGCTTTGGCTGTCATTTTTAGCATCTTTGTCCTGCTGGAACATGACAGTCAATCTCACTGTCCTTTGCAGGCACTAACAGGGTTTCTTCCAGGATTGTACTATATTGGCTCTTGGCTGCTTAGATTAAGATTGTCCCATCAGTTTTGGTGTGAGGCCTTGTCTTCATACGTGTGGGTATTCTGTCTAGGTTTGGATGATGTGAAATTCAGATTTTTATTTTTTTATTTAAAAAAAAAAAAAAAAAACTAAACCTGGTAAACGTCTCCACACCTGTATCCCCGATCAGTCTGGCTTGTTAGTTAGAGTTTGTGATTTTTGTTTGCTCAATAATATTTTCAGACAAACCTCTCAGGCTTTTATCGTACGGCTAGATTCATATTGAGACTAAATTACACACGTGGGCTCTTTTTACTAACCATGACAGAAAAGAAGTCTGAATACAAACACATGCAATAGGATTTTTATTTCTAAAAAAAAAAAAAAAAAGTGGAAATCAGTATCCTTTGCCTAACTTTTGTTTACTAAGTGAAGTCTGAGGGCAACGGGTGGAACTAGATTTGATTCAGGGGTATCAGAGTAAAGGTGGTTAAATAAAGATCCTCTCCACACATTGTATCAAACTGCACTAATTTGTGTCAGTATAGAATACATGTTAGCACTGACGTTTTGCAACGTAACAAAATATAAGAAATGTTCAAGGGGGTGTGAATACTTTTGCAATGCTTCATAATAGAGCGTTATTTTTCTTGCAAGTGAAAGCTAATGAGCCTTTCAATGACTCAAACACGAGCCACGATCACTTTGGGAAGTGTGCGTCTGGCAATGGTGCTATACTTTGAGATCCCAAATAACTGTGGGACTCGCCTTGTCGTGGCCCAGTGACTGCTTGAAATTAAAATGAGCGTGCAAACAGCCCTCTGTTCTAACATATTTCTCAGACTCATTTGATTTCTCTCACCTGATCGCTAACATGAACACTCTTCCTCTTCACCTTCCTCTGTCTAATGTCTAACGTCAGTCACATTCCTCAAATCGGCTCTAATTAACAAACTCCTCCATATTGAATGTTTTCTCAATTCTGTCAAAACAATGTCGTTTCACACGATGTTTTTAAAAACAGGTTGCAAAACTGTGAGGCCAGTTTTACTGACAGTCATGTCACTTAGTGATTATGAGGGCAATTTCCCCTCCACAATAGTGCCACCAGCATCCTGAGAGGGGACCCATCTGCTCCAAACACAGAGCAAGTTTGGGAGCTGGCAAGCAGATCAAATGCATCACTGCCACCTTCTACAGCTTAGTGATCCATCTTTATTTGGCCTGGTCATAAAATGCCTATAAAGGGAAGGATAACTTTGAAATGACTCCTCAACAGCAGGAGACGACTTGGACTGTTGCAATATTGCCACCAGTTGGGGAGAAAAAAAAGGAAATCTGAGATCTCATTAGAAATGCATTAAGAGAGCAGGGAGAAAAGGCTGAGGACGAGGAGATGAGCAGGATTTTTTATTTATTTATTTTTTTTTATCTGTTGAAGGAAATATTCACACTTTTAATCTGGTTGACAACCATCCCTTTTTTCCTCGGTCGTTGCATTGTTTTTTTCTCACCATTACAACTCACTTGACGATTTAATATCAGCCACAAAACGAATGTATTCCGATGTGTTTTTCCTGAAAATTGTCATTCAGAACAACTCGTGAAGAAAAACTTCTTCATGTGTCTTCCTTACTCTCATATAAAACTGAAAGACTCTTATACATCCATATATTATGTTACATTTTATAAGTTTCTTTAGGGGTTTGTATTTGACACTGAAAGACTACCTTTCCCTCTAAAAATAAGCCTTGGTAATATAACCTACTTTTACAGCCATGAAACAAAATGTAGGTTGCTCCATATAAAAGTACCTGTTAAGAATAAAGCTCCTGCACTTCATGACTAACCCATTAAAGGGAAAGTAATCTTTACACAAGGACTTAGCGCGAACATGTGACAGGCAGGTTTACTGTTGCCAAGTGCCTTTAAATGTCTTCACACTTCTTCAACTTTTCCACTGCTTGCCAACCCGTAAAGTTTAACATGTTTTCTTTGGATTGTCAGCTCAACCAGTGTAAGATAATGAAATAATTCATGCTTTTCAGTCATTTTATTAATATAAATTTCAATGTTAAATCCATCATTAGAAAATAGCAGGTTTCAGACCTGCTAACGCACGACCTTCCACAGGAACCCACGAAAGGAGTGCATTAGTCAAGACGGGCCAAGGTAACGACCGGAGAGGCTGCAGAAACGCACAGTTTGAGTGTCCACAACTATTTATTATTCACTTCACAAAACTGATGTAGTGGCTAGGAGACAGCTAATCTAAAAAAAAAAACACCCATAAGAAATCCCTTTCGCAGTTCGCCCAGCGAGATGAGAGGCTTAGTAACCGTGTGAAAAAATTGTTTTCTGGTCAGATGAGACCAAAATCAAGCTTTATTAGCCAACTTGAATAGTCCATAAAGGGGAAGAATAACTTTGAAATCACTCCTGAACAGCAGGAGACGAGTGCTGCAATATTGCAATGCTGCACATCTATCTGAACACATTATTCACACAATGAAATATAAAAACAACATCATGCTGCAGGGATGCTTTTCTTCGGTAGAGCTGTAAATGCCTGACAACACTGGAAGACAACCGGTTAAAACTTAGCTTCTGTTCTCAAGAAGCATGGGGAAAACCTTTGTTTTGGTTTGCAAAGCTGCTGGAGAGTTGGAGCTGTAACTGCAGGGAAAGGTGATTCTATAAAGCATCAATTCAGGGTTTCTGAATCTGAATGCACACAAAAACGTTGGTTTACTTTATGGTTGCCTTTCACAGAAAATCCCAGTATTATATTTTGAAGTTTGTAGCTATAATGTTGCAATATCTGGAAAAAAAAATCAAGTATGAGTGTTTCTGCAAGGTACTGTTTGAGTTTTTATTTATTTATTTTTATTTATTTATGGTTATTTATGAGAATTTCTTCTTTTTTTTCCACTTTAGACATTACTTCCAAGAAATTACTAAAGCATTACTACATAATGGCTGGACACTTCAGTCGCTCCTGAAGCCTGATGTGGCCGCTGCCCGGGTCGAGCATGGAGCATGAGCTGAGTACGGGTCTGTCTCTTTGGGCTATCGCAGCCATTGTTTGCAACTCCGTAGTGGGCCTGCTCATCCTCATCCTCTTCGTGGTCCTCTACAAAGCCTGCAAGGTGCCTTCACATCAAGACAAAATGCCAGTTTTTGCTGTCAGACTGGATCAGACAAGGGCAGAGGAGAAGTACATGCTGACTGCAGCCTGACCGAGGTCCTGAACATGTCAACCCGATGCAAGGACAAACGTCAAGTCACGAGGGTAGAGGTGGAGAAGTCTTCCCAGGCTTTTCTGTCTCCCCTCTCTCTCCATTTGTGCTACAAAAACCGTGTAACAATGCGCCACCATCATTCCCATCTCGCCTGTGCCATTTGGGGGAGCTCAGAGTAAGCAAACTGAGTTAAGATTTGAGGCAAGACCATAAGCAGCAACAACAAGCAAGGCCCAAATCCTCTTATCTCTGCTGTGCGTCGCTGGGACTGTCCATCTGTCAGTCAGTTTGGCTCGCTCCACACAAGCAGATCGCCATCTCCTCCTCCTCCTCCTCCACCACGTCAGTCTTTTTCATCTCGTCACGCAGGACGGCGGCGAGGATGTGGAGGCGAAACAGCAAAAGTGCAATGGAGTGGAATAGAGGAGCCGGGGTTGATAAGTCTGGCGGGTTGAAAAGCAGTGAAATGTTTTTGAGAGCGAACGTTAAAAATGTGACTCGTCCCCGATCAGTTTTGCTGTATGTTTTAGCTGCACCGCTAATGATGGAAGCAGCAGAGCAGCAAACGCACAACAGGTCGAGACCCACGGCTTAAAGCAGAAGACAGGGAGCGCAGAGACGTTACTGCAGGTCGTCTCTGATCCACGACAGATGGAGATAAAGTTTGGTTTATACTTTGGAGGAAAGGAGATAAAATTCAGGGGAAGAATTGGAAATAGGACACTTTGATGTTTTGTTGACAGAAAAAGGAGCTCGAGGGCCCTGTTTGACAGTCTCTCCCTGATCCAACCCCCACTGGATTAAAATCCTCTGCAGAAGTGCAACTTACAACACCGTTTCTTTTGTTCTGCCGTGCCTTCTTCTCTTTTTTTTTCCTCCTCAGCTCCAACGAAGGCGGAGGACTATTCTTACAGACAGGCATCATCAGTGTTGACTGGGGGGAAAAAAACAACTAACTTTTACACTAAAATATCATTTCTGTTGTAAGAAGCCTCCTGGGAAAACATCCAGCATTTACAGTAGAGAATTTGTTTATCTTGTAAAACAGGTGTTGTTTTGATACATCAAAGGGCTCAGTCGAGATATGCGAGACGTAACCTCACATAAACTTTCATGGACGGGGAGGTAAATGTGAAACTTGTATGGGATGATTAGTAGCAAAGATTTGCTCAAATTATTAACGATACTGAAACCATTTTGGTAACATTTGGAACTCACTGATCATCTTGTATCTTTTTTTTTGTATGAAAAGCTTCTGATCTTTTCCAAGGACATTAATGACTTTTTTTAATCTGCTGATGAATCAAAAAGTTCAAAGCCATACTAGTTGTTAGCTTGCAATGCTGTATATATATATATTTTTTTTATTATTTTTTAGTTTATGTGAATGAATAAAGATGAAATAAAACAAAAGAGTGTTTTGTTTTTTACATTTATATTTGCATTTGTCTTTATTGATTGTAAAGTATTTTTGCTTTTAAGTTACTGACAATGTCCACATCTGGTGTCACAGTTTCATTTATATAAAGTCATTGACTTCTTTGCTGACATTCTTACATGTCAGGTCATCAAGCAAATTTAAATCCATCCATCTTCTTTGCACCCTTGTCCCTTAGTGGGGTTGGGAGGGGTGCTGGTGTCTATCTCCGGCTAACGTTCCAGGCGAGAGGCAGGGTCACCCTGGACAGGTCGCCAGTCTGTCACAGGGCAACACAGGACAAACAACCATGCACACACACTCACACCTAGGGGCAATTTGGAGAGGCCAATTAACCTGACAGTCATGTTTTTGGACTGTGGGAGGAAACCGGAGTACCTGGAGAAAACCCACATATGCACAGAGAGAACATGCAAACTCCATGCAGAAAGACCGGGACTGGGAATCAAACCCAGAACCTTCTTGCTGCACGGCAACAGCTCTACCAACTGCACCACTACGCAGGGATGGATACTTTTTCACATAGGCTCAGTTTGATTTAGATTTATTTTCTTTAAAAAAAAAATCAACAAAAAAAACTGAATTTTGTAGTCTCTTATATTAACTTTGTCCAACATTTAAAAAAAAATTGTTTGATGATCTAAAGGATTCAAATGTGACAACAAAAAAAAATTAAAAACTTTTGGAATTGGCAGACACTTTATTCACTGTTCCATATATTGCTTTTAAAGTCTTTGCCCTTTGGATAAACAACAGAGTCTGAACTAAAATAAAAGCTGACCTCATGCTGCCTCCTGTGCTGAGATAATCAATGTTCAGCACACTGCTTGGAACCGTGACCCACTTCCTGTTGTTAATCAAGCAGAAGCGCATAATCCTTATCTTGTAACCACAACCCAGAGTCGTTCTAATGGTTTTGCGAATATAAACGGCTTATATCTTCTTACTGACAATTAACATCATCCTACAGATGGAGCAATAATTTAATTCAGTACGTGTCCAAATATAATAACAGGAAATTTGGAAAATATCAGTGCCCATGGGCGTCCAGCAGTAACAGTTGATTGTTGTAGGCACTTTGAATTTCATATCATCATTTGCTCTTCTGTTTTAGGTTCGCTTAGTCAAGAGAGATATTTTTTAATGTGCTGATTTGCACAAAAACACCTAGTTTATATACAGAGATATTGCTATAGTCAAATAAGTCTAATCATACAGACTTATACATATATTCCAGTTAGAGTTCAACGAGTTACAAAATGATTCAGTCTCAGTGTGTGAGAGAAGGAAAAGTGAAACTTAACACATAGAACTCTCCTTTTATGTCTTTTCAGTCACGTACACGGCGCCGTCCACCCAGCAGCTCTCTCCTGCATGGAGTTTCTCTCGTTTTCTCCCGTCTCTGGTTAATTTGTACCTCTGTCCCTGAATCAAACCCGATTCAAAGGAGTTTCGGTGGAGAGGAGGAGAAGAAGATCTCCTCTGAAACCTCTGTTATCAGTTCATTCGTCCCAGTAAATAAGCCAAAGTTTTATTTTTCAGGACTCATAAAGCGGCAACAATGTAAGAAAAAAAAAAAACTTCCGTCAGAGTGAAGGGAAATCTCCCACCTGGGGATCTGAGTTTGTCTTGAAAAGTTCACACAACAAGAGCACATTTGTTATAGTTTCAGCATGTAACTGGTGTAACATGTTTTCTTACTGTTAATGTTAGTAGTATACATTTTTTAAAAAGTAGTATAAATGTACAAAGAGCGCTGAGTGGAGTGCCGTCTTGTGTAAAACAGGTTGGGATGGGACTTCTTCTTATATTTTTTTTTTTTGTTAAATTACTATTTTAGTCTTTTTCTAGTTTGACTCAATTGAGACAAAAACTTCAGAAGAAAATGGCATATTTAATAAATTAGAATGTTACAGAAAAGTTAATTTATTTCAGAAACTCAATTCACTACGTAAAAGGCATTACATAGTTTAATTATATAAAGACTAATGTTTTCAAACCTTTAAATCTGATCATTTTTTTATTATTTACGGTTAATGAAAGTGCAACATTTATGACCAGAATAAGACGTCAGATCAATAAAAAACATTATTACAGAAATTTGGGCTTAATAACAAATATATATTTAAAACCTGCTTAAAAGTTGTTATTTTCAAAAGGTATTTTTAATTAGACAAGCAGGCCTCATGACCTTCAGTTCATTGAACAAAATGTATATAACCTGATAATAAATGCATTTAATACAAGGAGAAAAGAGAAAAATCGAACAAGGCTTGTGTGTGTAATGTGTGAATAAACCTTGTGCTTTGTTTCCCCTTGTTAAAGATGTAAGTCTCTGTGGATGTATTCATAACATTTCTCATCTTTATCCTCTGACAATTTTTCCACAAAATACGAACGATCCATCCAATCGTAAGTCATGCTCTTACGTTCCACAAGGTGGAGCTACATGTTGAAAAATTGGATAAAATGCATATTTTAAACATGTTCCACCTTATGTTTTTTGACATCTGTGGCATTTTAAAAATGTGATCTGTTCTACGTCGGCTTGCTCTTCTGAAATATGCAAATCAAAGCTAATCTTTATTACTTACTGTGGATTTCTCAGAGGTTGTATCAGGAGATTAAAAATGACCAGAGTTTCTCTGGGACGAATGCGAGAAGGAGAATGTTGGGGTAAAACCTCCCTGCCATCCAACACATGCTGGATGTTTTTTTCTGGTAGGTCTACCAGATGGTGAGAATTACACACACCTCCAATTTGCACATGCAGGTTGCTGGTTAGCCAAGTGGAGTTGTGAGTTTTTTGTGTTACATTTCCAATGCAACATGTTTTTGTCACAATGTCAAAAAGAACCCTGGCACTATATTCAGCAATAAGCGGAAGAAGAGGAGGAAGAATAAAGCATAAGCCTGGGTTCATCAGGTTTATATTTTACTATTAAAAAAAACTCATGTAAGACCTGTAAGACCCTTTTCTGGCTTCAGAGACTTACTGTGTGCAGCTCAAAGCAATGTGCAAAAAATAAAAATAAAAAATCCAGACATTTTGGATTTTGGGTGCATGATTCCTCCTGACTGTACGCATCAAGATATGCTAACAAACTGTTGTTAAAACAAAATGATCTGATCTGCATCTTCACATGTATCCTCAACCACAGTAAGGCTAAAACTAATGGTGGATGTGCAGAAACCACCGATACGTATATCTTTAACACACTTAACAAATTCCCACAGCTGTGATAAAAACATCGCGGATGTCACACCCATGGCAACGGCATCGATTTAAAATTAAGACCTGCGTCATGTTTGTTCACAGCAGTTGCTGTGAACTGCATTAGCTGTGCATCCGTCGAGCCTGCGTTTGAGATAACAAAGAATGTGATGCTATACTGTATCATCACACTGTTTTACGTGTGCGATAAGCAGGGTTTGTAGCTCAGAGCGGGTGAAGCAGATGGTGTGGGCTTTTTCCCGGGTTGTTGATTGGAAACTGCTCATCAGAAAGGCAGCTGCACAGCTGACTGTCTGCTTGTCTTTTATTTATCTTCTTGACAGTCACTCTCTTGATCTTGGTCTCTTTGGCAGCCTTTCTCTGTTTCTCTGTTCCCAGCTACCGCCCAGCAGAGCCAGATTCATGGAAACTGGCCACCGCAGATTCAGAGATGTTATCGGCCATAAGGGAGACGTGAAGGTCAGCGCGTGCAGTGTACGAGCTGCTGCATTCTCCTGATATTCAAAGCAAATCTTCTATAAGCAATGGAAACAGTTATTATGTAAACCAGTATGATATCTGCCCTCCTTACTTCTATCTTTCCATGGATCCACCCGTCTAGACGTTCGGTGATCATTTGCAAGAAATAAGATATGGCTTTCGCGATCCGTCATGCGTGCTCTGATTGTTGTTGGGAACTGTTGCTCGATTAATGAACTGAATTGCATTCAGTTGTGAGCTGCAAATTCTGCCTGCATCCCTGTGGTATTTGAAATGGAAGCATCTCCCTACATTCAGCACGGTGTTATATAATGAAAGAGACATTACAAAGAGATTACTAATAGATGTACGAGGAGACGGTAATCTGAAACTCAATCCTCACTGCTGCTGGTTGCATAATGCACATCAGGCTCAACATCAGTCATCAGCACTGTTAGTCTCTGCCACTGTGTGACTGTGGCGGTGTGTTTTTTTTTGTGTGCATGTTCGTTTTAATGCGATCATCAGAGGATCAGATGTTAACATTTGTTTTCTGAGCCCCAAAATGGAACTGATTTTTTTCTTTTTTTTTTTTTTTTTTTTTTTATGGCTTATGTAATATACAATTAATATAGGATTGTTATTTAGTGGCTCCAAGTGACACATCTCTGGTGTGTTTGGCTTGAATAGACTGCCTTGAAAAGCTATTTGTACCCATTTAACTTTTAAATGTTTTGTTGCGTTAGAAACACAAATTTTTGGCGTGTGTGTTATTTGGATTTAATTATCGACCATAACAAAGCAGTGGCTTTTTATT